GCCACCGCCAGGAAAGTCCTGCGCACTGACTTCTCATGGCGGGGGTGTTGTTTATGAAATTGAGAGGAGGAAGAGCGAATTTCCGGTGCATTAACCGGGTTTATGAGACCACATGGTCTACCTAGGGAAGTTGGAAAACCCTGATTTAAAAACGATGGTGCACATAGTCTCTAGGATCATGAGGAAACAAATGATGTATGGACCTATGGTCGGTTAGCGGCGTAGTGTTTTTGACAAAAGGTTGCCTTTGATTCGTTGGGCAAGATTGTTTTCTGGTATTGTCTATTGAAGAACGGTATGTCTGGGAAGTTTATTAACATCTTGAAAGCCCTATATGTAAACACCTCAAGCAGAGTGAGGGCATACAACTACCTCTCTCCATTGTTCCATTCATACAATGAGGTTATACGGGGTTGCCCAACCTCACCATTTTGCTGTCAATGACGTTCTGGAGACAGTTCTGATGGATGTAGGTGATGATGATATGGATCTGTTGCCTGAAGAAACACTTCTCGACCTTGAGCATGCTGATGATATTGTCTTACTGCGCAGTGATACCCGAGCCATGCAATCCGCACTTAATCAGTTATCAATTAGTGTCCGTAGGTATGGTAAATGCTTTGCACTTTCCAAGCGCAAAGTACTTTTACAAGACTGACAGGACTAAACCTGTACTCAGTCTGTGTAGTGAGCAGATAGAAGTAGTCGAGAAGTTCGTGTATCTGGACAGCTGCATAAGTAATAGTGGTTGAGTAAGAGGTGAGATCAATTCACATATGGTGAAAGCCAGAGCGGCTTATGCCAATCTGGGCCATCTTTGGCGCCTTCGTGATGTTAGTCAGGCTGTAAAAGGTCGGATCTACAACGCGTCAGTGAGAGCAGTTTTGCTCTATGCTTGTGAAACCTGAACTCTCCATGTCGAGGACGTTAAACGACTCTCTCTGTTTGATCGTCGTCTCTGGACGATTGCTGACATCCAGTGGCAACACCATGTTAGTAATACAGAGGTTCGGTATCGTGTGTTCGGAAACAGCGACGATAATTCGTTTGGTGCTACCATCTTGGAACATCGACTTTGGTGACTTGGACATATCTTACGAATGTCTTCCCAGCGAATTCCGAATCATGCGTTATTTGCAGACGTCTGGACTGGTTAGTAAAACCGAGAGCTGGTCACTGCATGACATGGTGTGATACGAAAGAAAGCTGTACAGGACCGGCTTCTGTTGGTCCTTTATGACTTCTTGGTTGGGGCCCTAGAGATGGTACAACATGTCTTGAGACACTATCAAACATGGCTCAGAATAGGAGCCAGTGGAGATCATGCTGTAACTTTCTTCTACCTTCTTATTTAAAGTGATAATAACTTCTTTAACTGAAAGAATTTCTGGTTGTATTTTTCATAACGGAACTGGTTCTCCGATTATTATTGGTAGTAGTATTAGCATTTGTGTTAGTATCATTATTTCACTTTTGTACACTAATTTATGTTCATTTATTATACTCACGCTTGTGTTAAAATAACTAAATAAAATAAAGATCAAAATAAATTTATACGGTACATAAACACTGATAGATCTTCTTGCTGGGTAACAAACGTACAGGCATACACGGAAAGAAGTTCACAGTGAAATAAAGTGACAAAAAGGAACATATCGGACTTCTAGATTCAGAAAGTAAAAAAAGTAACTAACACGAAGCTCGTCAAAAAGCTTTTCGACAAAATTTTAATTTATTGTTTACTTTTTAACTATAACATTTTAAGAAATCCTTGATACAGAAAAAACACTGAAATACGAATGGCACAGAAATAAGTCATCGGTATCGTGAATAAATAAGAGGAAAATCACAAAATAATAACAAGATGCATTACAGTTGGTCGTAAATATGAATGCAACCAAGGGATACTTCGATCGTGTTAAAAGTGTGTTATTATCCTAAACCATATCTGAAAAGTGTCTAAATCATTGTGCCGAGACATTCCTAAGGGCTTAGTCGTAGCATGATGGTGTGTCGACAGTAATCATCTTCTAATATGCAATAAGTGTGTCTAGACCATAGAATTCAGTGTTCCAGGACGAAACTAATTATTGAGCAGTGATCCATATTCTACAAAAATATATAGTCAGAATTCAACATAAACTGCACAACATTGTCAAAGTACGCTAGGAATACTCCTGAAACAGCAGCAGTTGAAGATCTTTGACTGGAGAAAATTTAGTATATACCGAATGAGACTTGCTCTATTAGTTTGTATATTCAGTTATTAAGTGTATCATGACGGTGTTAACGACATTCACGATTAGAAGCCACTTCAGTTTTTCATATACAAAAACTGATTTCATATTGCTGAACTAAAGGCAGTTGATTAACTAGTGACCAACCTTATAGATTCTTTCACTGGCACTACACTTCTCATTGATACTGCAGTTTAGATGCAACATGAAACAGGGATTTGTAAGGAACCTAGTGAAACCCAACATTTAAAACTAGGACATTTTTTTATTATGTAAACGATTTAATGTGTCATTTTTATCGCATAATGTAAATCCAGTTAATGTTACGCTTTGCTTTTCAGGAGAGGGTTAAAGTTGATGGTTGAAGTAGAAATAATATTTAGCGGTGGATGGAGATTGAATATGAATGAGGCGATCTCACAGGCTACTAAAGGTATGAGGGTGGTTTTTGTTTCCCGATTACCTACACTATGGAACGATATCCCTCCTTAGGGCACTTGAGGAAACTGGATTGATGGTGGTCCTAGTGACTTGTGAGCATGACCTCAGAACACAAGAAAAAATTTCTAGAGGTCGGCCATAGTCTTTCTGTGAAAATTTTGTGGAGCGCTAACACTGTAGTTCCTTGGGGTGAAGTGAGGTCAGAACAGTTGTAGAGCCAACGTTTTCTGACCTCTTCTTTTCGTCGTGGAAAGGTAGTATCGCTGAGGGAAACATTTTACTTCTCCCAAACCCATGGACAGTCAGCAATACGGCCTTGTCCTTGGACCTTAAAATGCTGCCTTGTCATACCGTCCTCCAACCGCTATTCGACATGACAGGACCTAAAGCAGCAAGTGTTTAAGTCAGTATATCTCGGTTGAGTCATTATTATGAGCAATCGCAACCACCATGTTGGGGTAACAGCTACAGTAGGGAGAGGATTATAGTTCCCCCCGAACTTTCCTAGGCAGTATTCAGCCTAGTTGGCATAAAGTATCTTATTAAAGATTAGTTTGTTGACTTTTGAAACGAAAGATATATTTGACAGATACTAAAAGGTGATTGAAATCCAGTCAATAAGTTTTGAAATCTACATATCTTAACAAGTTCATATCATCGGTAGCTGACTGTAAGCAGGGTTATGTTGAGTTTATGGTTTGGAAAAGGCAATATACCTTGAATACCAATGGTAGCGCCTTAAACTCTGAGGTTTGATGGCAAAGAATCGGATCATTCAAGGAGCACCAATTTTTCTCAAGAAAATAGACATACTTTGATGACGAGTGTCAAATAGCACGAAACCTAGATCAAGGGTTTAAGTCCACCACCTCTAATTAACTAACACAATATATCCTGTAGCAACTTCGCACACGTCAATAGATATAATAAAATTATTTAGACAAATAAAAAATTCATGTTAAACAGCATGAACCTATCACTCAAATAGTCTAGATTATGCCTAATGTTAAAAGGCTAAAACTTTTATGAAAGCTAAAAATCGTGACTTACCCAATTAAAGATAGTGACGTTAATTATTTTTATGGCATAAATAAAAAAGTACCTCGAAAAGTGCAAAAACCATTACACTATAAGGCATAAACAAATTATGTAGATCGTTGAAAAAAAAGAAAGTCGAAAGTAATGTGTTTAAGCTAGTTACAATTATCCTAATCTAACAGACGTCGTTGTATCTCTAAATCGATAAACGGACATTAATCAGTAGACTAGTATTTTGGAGTACGTTTCTCTTAGACTTTTCTACAGAAAATATGAAAGTAAGCAGTATGTTGCTGTATGCTCATTCAAATAAGCATGAAATTGTATGATGAAGATTTGGTGCTTAAGATGATGAATATTATTATATATTAATTATCTTTCTAGGACTATGTAATTTGCTATGAGTGGTATTTTTTACAATAACTTAAACTAAAACGTTATTCACCGTAGGATACCTACTGAATTACTATTAGTTCGACTACATAAGCAATTCTAGTAATATTAATAGTCAGTTGATCCATCATAATACAAAAATACTTTTTTTCAGAAATAGTGACTTGATGGCTCGAAAGTGAGGTCTTTGATTCTAGCTTAAACAAACTAAGTAAACCTCCCAGTATTTTGATCTGACAGGAAACATTTTGACGTCTTTACCAAGGAATTTATCAGAACCGAGAGTACACAATTTAGTACTGTAAAATTGTATAAAAGTCCTTTTTGTAAGCTTGAAAAAAACACATTTCGTAAGGGTACATGACATTTATCTGTACTACCACTCAGTCAGTCATTCACATGCAACGTAGAACTTCAAGCATATGCGCATCGGTCCAAGTTGCTACACCACAATGGAACAGCGAGATAATATTATCAGGAAAAATCCCAAGGTATTACAATTAGTGACAGTATCATTTGTAGTCGAAAGGGTTAGATTTAGAAAAAAAGAAAAAGGTGCAAGGAGATTTCAGGACTGAGGTTCCAAAGGAAGGAAGAGTGTGAATGAACCTGCATCATTGGAAACTATTCTGAGCCATGTCACCCCGGAACTCTAATTATTGGTTACGACAACATTGTGTGCCCTAACCAGACAGCCTTCACTAATTAACACATAGCTAAGTGCAATTGTCGATAACTTCATGTGTTTGATTTGACCACTGCAATATTATTGACCTATTATTACTACGGTATATATGCATATATACTGGCTACCGTAATGATAATAATGATAGTGCGAATATATTTTGAAAAAACTAACATTTAATAAAGAACATCCGGAATCACTCATACCTTAACACGAATCGGGTCAATACCATATGTATCCAGACTGCTGGCAAGGTGTATTAATTCACTAGCAGCTTCAGAAGGTAAAAAATTCCTTCAAGAAAAAACAAAATAAAAATTTACTACCGATATGTGTATAAAACCAATAAATTATGCAAGCTAGATTGTAAATTATTAGGCGACCAAAAACATGAATTAAAATACCATTCATTTCGATAAATGATTGTGAATATTTTTTGAAATATCAAATACAACGAGCAACTGATAGCTTTCACTTGCATGTTTCTAACCACCAATTAGCCACGAATATAAAGCTATTGTGTATGAGTAGAATTATAATGTCTTTACGAAAATAGGACAATTAATTATCACAATAAAAAATAAGCTGGCTGGTGAGAAGACAGAAGTATCAGATGTGACAACTCGAAAGTGTAAAAGCGTAGAATGAAATTGCAGAAACGTAGGATTTTATGCATGACATGGATGAATTGAAAAAATCAAATACAAAAGGAATTAACTTATTCACCAAATGCTTTGAGTATGAACCACACCCTAAGTGTCAGGGTTTTGATGCTACCCCGCTGCCCAAACCGAAGTAGATATAAAGGGACTAGAGGCTGCTATCTAGTGGTTGAAAGTTCAACACTTTAGCCACCCCATCGGTGAAGTACCATAAACAAAAGAATGAAAACGATCAGACAGTATACAACTAGTCAGAATTGAAGATTTAAAAATTGAATTTCAAAAACGTAATAGTTACTTACTCCAGTTTTTCATGTTCTTTTATGATAAGCGATTCAAGGCGTTCAGTTTGATTGTGAAGCACACGAAATTCACGTAAATATTGATGCCTATCATTCTTTACGGATGTATCAGGTGGTTCCTGCGCTGAAATATCTCCAAGTTCCACTGAAAACAAATTATATAATACGATTAACATTACATTTACCATTAAGCAATTATAAAACCAAAAGCAAATTAATAATTACAGTTACATCAAAGAAATGCTTATGTTACTAGAGCAATATATAGGAAATGCCTACTTACCTTGAACTACAAGTGCAGCAAGTCGGACTAGGACATCAGTTTGTACAACTAATCTCCCACTTATTAAATCACGACGCAATTGATGATAGAGGAGGTAGCTGAAAGAGTAGGATAGAAACCAAAGGTTATGTTTTATTCAAGAATAATCCCTCTAACAAATAACCCTACTTTAAGCAGAATAATTAACAAAACAGTCAACTACCGAACATCAACCTTTTTAAAATAATATTACCACCATTGAAGTAACTACTATGAATTCGGTATTCATCAGGTATGGTAACTTGGACTGAGGTATATATATGCCTGATTCTACATTGTAGATGACTGACTGACTAAACTAAATGAGAAAAAATATTTGTGTAGAGAATGAGTTTAAATAGCTGATAGAACTATTCAACAGAGAAAACTACCGATTTAAGACGTGAGAAATAACCATACACCTTTATAGTATGCAAATCAACTTATTACTTAAAACTAATTAAAGTCCCAGTTATAAAGAAGATAATTAGATTTCCTTATCTCAATATAGAATAAAAAGATTAGTGAAAAGAATTCGGAATGTTGATCTAAAACCTTCAACTTCTTTTAACCTTACAGAGACAACAGTTAGTATCTCGCCTCACTAAATATGACGGAAATATGGAAATACACTAGATTCCTAACAATTTACGAAGGTAATATACAGCTCAATCAAGTGCATAACAATGAATTCAAAAACCTTAAATGTTATTTACATGAATCTTTCATCAAGTGAAATACAATGCAGATAAGTCCTTTATGCAGCGTTCCGTCTCCTAGTCAAACATTATTCTTGACTAAATTATGCTAAACTGTCCTTCAGAAGTCTATCTAACTATAAACGATATTCATTTGAAACATTTACATTTACCTATTACAGGGGATGCCTTACCTCGATAAACCTTGGGTTTAACTTCTTGCTAAATGAAAGAATCATTTATAAGTAAACGGAATACGTTTAGTCAAGAAAAAAAACAATTAGAACACTACAGATAACCCATTTCTATAAAGCGAATCATAAATAATAATTCATAGGTATAATTCCCAAGGTTAAACTTGATGGTTTCAAACACATTGAGGATTGGGTAGAAAGTTAATAATAAATATATTTTTTATGACATCCCAATAAGTAGAAAATTATATTTCTGGCGTTTTGTGACTTGGTGTAAGTCACTCATTTACTCAGAGAACAAAACTCCATCAAAATTTTGAACCATGTCATTCAAAGTCTCGAACCATTAAGATAATCACGTAGACCTTAACCAGCTAGTCCACACCTATTAACACGACTCAGTCCAATAACCAGTGACTTTACTAACCGATGCCACATCTTTGTTTGGTCGCCCCTAGTTTTCTTCCAACCTAATCCTATACCAAAAACCATCGCGCGTCGAGGAAGGCGATAGTTGGGCATGTGTAAAACATATCCCAGCCACCTCAGTTGATGGTTTACTACCTCACCAATCGATTTCCTATCTTTACCTAGTACTCTATGCCCAACTTAGGCATTGCTTACTCCGTAGTCCTAAAATACATGAGCAATGCTTCGTAGACACTCATGATCGAATGCGATTAACCATTAGGTTAGACTATGAGTGTTGCCTCTAAAACCATGTTTGTAACAAAGTTAAGCAAAGATGGGGAAAGCGGACAATTCTAATGAACACCACTTGAAGAAACCGATTCCGATGAATGTTCGCCGTAACCTTCGGAATCAACCAATAGTAGTGGCACTTCACAAAGTTCAGAAAAATGAAGCGTAACCTGGTGATCAGAATGCACTACTAAGATTAAATTGAAGGTTTTGCGCGAAAACTGTTGCAACTCAGTCAAATTACCAGTAGCCAGAAGCTTAGTACCAATAAAACAATCTATTAACTTGATGAACCGATTAGCAATATATAACGAACACCAACCTGCCGAAGGATGAATTTCAGAAAGATGTTCGGTTACAAAATCCATTTTAACGAAGGTCTTGACTTTCTTATAGTGGCTTGGTAATTTTATAAATCAATAAGCTCTGTAATATAGGCTTCAATTTGAAAAAATGAAAGACTTTGTTGAAAAGAGATAACACATTCGAAAAATATATGTGTAAACTCACTGGGATTTAGGTAACCTCAAATCAACAATTGGGTCAGCGGGGTAATGCTTAACACGAAAGCTTACTTGACGAGGATAAGTGTCTGAAAAAAAACGACGGTAGGTGAAAATGAAAGTTAAAGACAATATTACCAATAACTTAGTTCTAAAAAATCCTTTGAATCATTCTGCTTTTAAATGCTGCAGACTAAAAGTAAATCAAGTTACTTGCAATTACGTTGACCAAAATACAGTATTATTTTAACACAGTGTGTTATTTAAAGCTTAGTCAGGAGTTTACAATAGAAGACTCACTGAACCCACGAAGTTTGATAATAACACCCAGGCAATTTTTCGAATCAAACCAAGTTCTGCAAAAAAAGGTCGAGGTTCACTGACTTTAAATAAACTAATTACAACCATTACTATTATCACTTTCCTTTAAAGTAACATAAAAAATAAATATTAAGGATTGCTAAATCAAGCTACGAGAATGTAAACAGTTACAAACTTCCTATTGTTAATTAGAGATTTATTACATTACTAAAACGACATTTAACTTACGCTTGAGTTGTGATGACAAGTTTCTCGTAAGGTTGATCCAACGCTGTAAATAAATTTGGATTTTTAAAATGTATCGAAATAGTTCGACTTACATAAAAGCAACATATGAAACTAATTAATAATTAATCGTAAAAGCATTAATATTATGAGACTAAAATAATAAGATTCATTATAACCCAATGTTTCTCACTAAAATTTACTGGCTGTTTAATAAAACAGGTTATTAAACTTTTTATTTAATAAGTAACGCCCTACTGTGACATTGTGTCTGAATAGCTAGTATGGAAATACGTTTTGCCTAAGACAACCAGTCGGTTGTTCAAGTGTTTAATTTTTTTAAATCTAATAATTGATGACTTGGAGCCAAGTTCTATGAGTGTTTATATGTTGAACAACTTCTATCCTTCACTTCACTCCAGAAAACTGTATAAACATACTAAAGTGATCATGTGCTGTCACTATAGTTCACCAAATCAGATGTTATATAGTGTCTAGTTTCTAAATTAGCTTTACTATTTTCTTGAATGTAGCTTTCTAGGTACTGATATATAATACATGGGTCTCCAATAAGCCTAAAATACAAGAAATATATTCAACTTGTGTGTCGACAGGGGTACTATTGAAACTTATGTATTTAGTCAGATAATGAGAACAACAGTTATTGTACACTACGTTTGAAAGGGATCACGATGAGTTATTTCTAAATTACATGTATCTAATCAGTTGCTTTACCTTTGTTGGAGACGAAAGCATTTCATGTTCCAGGTAACGAAGGCCGAAATATTCACGCTCCTGCATCACTCCTTGTTGACAACAGATTTCTTCAAAAAGCCATTTCCCAGATGCATCTTCCTATAAAACAAAAATGGAGGAAAACTTAGAGTAATGAGGATCTACCCACAGTTTATCTATGATATTATAATTTGCAAAAGGATATATGCATCCACAAAAATTTATATTCAACATCGCAATTAATGGAATAAAAGTAGTAAGTTCGCGATGACACAGATATCTGAAACCTAATAAGTGTGACGAAGCTCGAATAACTATGTCTCCTAAATTCCAAATCGCTTCTATGACTAGAGCGTCTGGTTGTTATTCGTAACCAGTCAAGTAAAAATGAATCTCACTATCGCTGTAAAACAACTGAACATCAGATACCAGATCATCCTATTCGTAACCGTCAAATATTATACATGTTCTAAAACAAAGCTATTTTTAGATACGGGAGTCGGTTGAAGTAAATATGGAGTAACTATCCAAAATTGTAGGGCTTATTATCTCACTAGGAGTTTCATATGCCAACGCTCGTAGTCTAAGAAATAAATCCTATGAACTAGAAGAAATAGAGGACAAATTAGGGCCACTCATTGTAGCTGTGATAGAAACTTGGTTAATCCATAACTTCGACATTCCTCTAGAATTGTCCGGATACCACTACCTAAGAAGTGATAGACATAGATGTAGGAAAAGAGGTGGCGTCCTTTTATACATAGCCAATAATATAAATGTCTGCTTCTCTGTTTGTGAATCAAATGATAGTGGAACTTGTGAAGTCATTAGCTGTTAGCTCACTTATTTATTTATTTATTTGAACACAAAAATATTGGTACACATATGCGCCACACAAGTCACTTGATTTGTGTGTGGGTTGTGATACTGTTCGGGTGCCCAGACCGAAGCAGGTGATTTTCTCAGGGGGTCACACCCGGAACCTTTGATCGACAGGTCTGATCCACAAGACAGTGGAGCAATGTCAGGAGATGCAGTTCCGTGGTAAATGGTGGCCAGTAATTGGTTCATACGCCATACGTTCCCCCAGGATCCTGGAGCCTAAGTAAACCATTGGTTTGGAATCAGGGTTTTTCAGCTCCCCTAAGTGAATCCTCCATATCCACCACTGTCGGATGTTGTACATTTATACTCGGTGTCATCTATCGCAGCCCGATCTGATTAGCTGATGACTTTATTTTAGAGCACATTTAACCATGGAGTACAAATAACAGATGCTTGATAGGAGACTTTATTGCACCTGATATTAGTCGGGCTGAGATGGCCTCGACAGGATTTATAAACCCTTTTGATGGTAGGTTCCTGATAACGGTAGTGGAGCATGCATTAGTATAGCATGTTTCCAAACCCAAACGTTTTGGCGCAAACCAAGGTTCTTCTCTATTGGACTTAGTAATCACTCATTCGACTGAGGATATTGCCAACCTAAATATTCTTCCACCGTTAGCGAATAGCGATCACGCTGTTTTGTTATTCACGTTTAGAGCTAGTGACATGATATACGATCAGGTAAATTCAAGCCCAAATGTACGGAGAGCTAACATATTAGCCATTCAGGAGTGCGCTGCTAAGACATTGATCAGTAGATACTAATTCATCAGTAGAGGAAGCGTGGTCTATGCTTAAAGGCAAGTTTAGTTCAGTTACGTCCTCGTTCATACCTGGCACCACGTAGACCGAATAACAGTCCACCATGGATAACTAAACAAGTCAACAAACTTCTTAGACGCAGGAAAAAGCGGAATATATTCATCTATACTGGCTTAGAACAGTACAGATCCAGTTATTATAAGAATAGGAATGCCTGTAAAGCGTTAGTAAGTAAGACTAGACGGTTGTGTGAAGAACAATTGGTTAGGGATTGTAGACATAGTCCGAGACGGTTATTCTTGTATTTAAAAAGGCGAACTCAGAGAAGCGATGAAACTCCATCACTTTTGATACAAGAAAATCCGTTAATATTGGCAAGAAATGATACCGAAAAAACTGAAGCTTTATCGGAATATTTCAGTAAAGTTTTCCATCAGTAACCAGGAACGACCAAGGATTAATTGTGAATGTGGCGGCTTCTTGATGGACCCTGTAGTTATTGAGAAAGGTACTGTCTTAAGACTACTTCAGCATCTCAAAACTTATAAGTCTAGTGGTCCTGATGAAATTCATCCTAGGATTATGAAATCCCTATCAGATGTAATTGCTGAGCCTTTAGCGATATTGTTTGATATGTCTCCGCGGCAGTCATGACTGCCCAGAGACTGGAAACACTCGACAACTAGTCCGGTGTATAAGGCTGAGAGTAGAGATTTAGTTAGTAACTATGGACACGTTAGCTTAACTACTAGTTGTAAAACTAATGGAAAAAATAATTCAGATAGCTGTTATAAACTATGTGGAAGGGCATAATCTATTATCCAGGGAACAACATGGTTTTCGGAGAAGCCTATCATGTTTGACAAATCTCATTGCAAGAGAAGACTGGACTGTGGAAAAAGATCGAAATATTCCTGTAGATGTGATTTGCATAGATCTAAGTAAAGCCTTAGATAAGGTTTCCCATTCTTATCTAAAATTAAAACTGGAAAGTTTTGGAATCCATTTTACAGTCACACACTGGATAAGTGACTTTCTCCAGAACAGGAGGCAAGGGGTACGGGTAAATGAAGCTCTCCCCTCGTGGGTACCTGTAAAAAGTGGAGTTTCCCAAAGCACAATCATCGGTCCTCTTCTCTTTTTTTACTTTATGTAAATGGGTTAGCAACTGTGGCAAAATCATCCGCTCTACTCTTCGCTGATGACATAAAAATTTGGAGACCCATAAACAGCATGTCAGATAGAATAGTATTACAGGATGATCTCAGCTCATTGGTGGCATGGATGAACAGGCGATCACTAGAAGTAAGTCCTAACAAGAGTGTAGTGATGCAATTAAATAACTATGATTATTCGTATCACTACACAATATATGGATTCGTGTTACCCAAAGTAAGAAACTATAAAGATTTAGAAGTCGTACTAAGCTTCGGTTTGGGCAACCGGGCAGTATCACAGCCCTCACACATATCCAATGAGATCTGTGTGGCGCATATGTATTTGGTGCCTTCTTGTACCGATATCTGTGTTAAAATAAATAAATAAAATAAGCAGTGACCTCAAAACTACCAGCCACTGTAAGGCTGCTGCTACAAAAGGCTATAGGGTATTATGGCATATTCGTAAGTTTTTTCAGTATTTGAATGAAATGCTGAGATTAATATACCCAACTTTCGTGCGCTCACATTTGGAATATGGGATTCAAGCGGCGAGACCTTGTTTCAAGTATGAAGCAGATATGCTAGGACAAGTCCAACGACGAGGGACTAAAGTGGTAAAAGGTTTCTCTGGCCTATCTTATGAAGATCAACTGAGACACCTTAACCTATTTCCGTTATCTTACTGTAGAACACAGGGTGATCTAATATTGGATTATCGTATAATGAACGATGACCTTGGTATTAATATGTCTTTTTTCCTCAAACTAGGACTGATCATTTGAGAGGACATTCGACGAAAGTTCAAAAACTGAGGTCAAATCGCATCGAGCAGTGAATTACTGAAATTCCCTACCAGAAAACATAATATGAGCACCTTCTGTTGATATATTCAAAACGAGATTGGACCTTCACAGTGTTACAAACTGCAAGGATTAATATAGATCGATAGACCTATTCTTATTACTGAAGATATACACCAACTTGTAAAAAACATATGCAAAGCACTTTTAAAAGTTAACAAAACTTTGAAACCTATAATGTCTACTTATCCTTGAATTATATACCAGTTACTAACAAGCAGTGAGCAGTTAGATTTTGAACAAAAGTGTTAAATCGGAAGTTGTTGAAACAAGTGGATGTGGATTCAAATCTATATATAGGTAGTCTTCAGTACGAAATTTAGAGAACCAGTATGCACATAGCAAAAAGAATTAGATCTGAAGTTATGTACACAGAAAAATGAGTAATATCAAATCTTACCGGCACGTTTATTTCTTCCATTTTTTCGTCTTCTAATAGTCTCACCGAGACAACAAAGTATCCTTGTGACATTACTACTGTAGAGCAGAATATGCCGGAAGTGTAGAACGTAAAATTATGTTATTTATTCGTTCAGTAGCTAGTTTAGAATTATAAATGTTAGATGTTGATCTGATTGTCGATTTTTATACTCTTTCAAGTGTGTTAACATGAAAATGTTGTGGGAATGTTGATTGTAATCATTTTAATAATTGAATGTGAAACTCATTGAATGTGATTTGTCAAAAAACAATAAGGACGACTCCAGCGGAAATGTAGCGCACTATCGCATTAACGAACGCAAAAATGTACGAGGAACTCCAAGTTTAAGATTTAACGTACGATGTCCAACAACTTTGTCTCCACTGTTCTGAACTACTTTTTAAATGTTTTTTATTTTTACTTGTTCACTTGACCGCCTCAATAACAAAATTTCTTGAACTTAGATAAGTGAACCACTCTATCTTGTACAGATGATCTAGGTTTCAAGAGTTAGTCCATATAAAGTGTTGTACTAGGTTTGACCTCTGATTATATTTTACTAAACAAACTTGCTGCTTCGAAAAAGTAATCCAGCACGTAACTGATATGGGGTCATTGAACAACTTAACAACTCCCGAGACTATCAATTTCATACTAAACTTAAAAATGATCTGACACTCGAAGATGACATGGATATTCAGGGTTTGACAACGCTTTATCCGTAAACTTATACGATCGAAGTGTGCCGAACAGTCATATCGAAAGTCAGGAAATAACCGCTTTGAACACATATTTGTAAGGTTGCCGATATGTTGAGGAGCGTTTGATTTAATCGGGCTAGTAGTTGCAAGGCATGCACGACGTACCCACTCATGATCTGACGTGGATGAGCGACGGAGTGCCTTTAGCTAGAGTATGTCCAGTAAAACTAATCAGGCCAGCATCAAGGTTGAACACCAATAAGACAATTTATTTTGGGAATTTATATGCAACCGGCCCCTCCTACATTATCGGGTAGTGATGAGCCTAAAACGTGATCGGCTAGAAATTAAGAGCCGATGAGCTTGCCGCTGATGAACACTTTTCCAAAAGCTTAACATACGCAGCAGCACATGATCTTCATTTCTCATATTAAGTTATAATTACAGAGAGGCCTGCGTCACCTGAAACAATTTGATATTACATGTAAACTGGTATGTTTCACATTACTCACTTACTTACGCCTGTTACTCCTCGTGAAGGAGCATGGGCCGACCACCAGCATTCTCCATCCAACCCTGTCCTGGGCAATCCTTTCCAGCTCTTTCCAGTTCTTATTCATCCTTTTCATATCCGCTTCTATTTCCCGACCTAATGTGTTCTTTGGCCTTCCTCTTTTCCTCTTCCCTTCACGATTCCAAGTTAGCGCTTGTCTCGTAATGCAGTTTGATGATTTCCTCAATGTATGTCCTATCCATTTCCATCGTCTTTTCCTAATTTCTTCTTCCGCTGGAAGCTGGTTAGTTCTCTCCCACAAAAAGCTGTTGCTGATGGTATCCGACCAATGGATGTTGAGTATCTTGCTTAGACAGCTATTGATAAATACTTGTACCTTCTTGATGGTGGTTGTTGTAGTTCTCTAAGTTTCAGCTCCGTACAGTAGAACTGCCTTGACGTTCGTATTGAAGATTCTGACTTTGATGTTGGTTGAAAGTTGTTTTGAGTTCTATATGTTCTTTAATTGAAGGAATGCAGTCCTTGTTTTGCCAATCCTCGTCTTTACGTCTGCATCTGAACCTCCTTGTTTATCGACGATGCTTCCCAGGTATATGAAGGGTTCCAAATCTTTCAGAGTTTCGCCAACAAGAGTGATTGGACTGCTGTTCTCCGTGTTGTGTTTGAGGACCTTGGTTTTCCCTTTGTGTATGTTGAAGCCTACTGATGCAGAGACTGCTGCTATGTTGGCTGTCTTTGTCTGCATTTGTTCGTGAGTATGTAGAATTATGATCTACTATGATATTAGCACTGCTCTAATAATAGACCTAATCCTAAAATTGTGGATTTATCATGATGTAACTGCTTAATCTATAAGCTCTTACGTGGAAGTTACATCATCGTCTACACCAACTCATTGCATTGTAACAACTACCAATACGTGATATGGAACAAGCTTAGGCCAGAGATAGAATATATTTAGTGTGAATAAAAGATACAAGATAACACTCAGCTGGGACCGCGCCTGCAAGGTCGAGCCATGCCACCTGACCAACTCGTATTAATTCCTTCCATTGTCCCCGCCTTTCTTCATTGTTCGGTATTTCCCAGCGTTAAATGTTGAATGCCTATTTTTCGTATTGTCTCGTGTTAGGGCCCAATGCCACTACACTACTCTCCCACCAGAATCAACGTGACGTTGGTTCGATACCAATTTGAGTGGGGATTATCGCGCGCCGGAGGTTACCAAGAATGATAAGAATCCTCCGGGTATTGATAAGGTGAAAGATAAATCAAAATAGCGGAGGCAGAATCTGGTCGGGAAATACATATAACAATTTTAAAACGTCTGGTTTAATGACTAACATGCTTAAAATGAAAATTTAGATAAAGATTATTTGAGCTAAACAAAGTGGGGTTATAATAATAAAATGATTCAGTATAAGGATATTTTAATAAAGTGCCGTAAGATACGTAGTTATATCCGTAGGTTAGTAACATTTCCTGTTTAGGAATATTAAAAACAGTCAATATTACAGAAATGTTAAAAGTGGTATTATATTTGGTCTAAATTATGAAATCAAATAACGTATGTGCCGGTAAGTTGTCCATGCGTTGATTTCCAATTGGATCTGTATTAGTAGGCTAACTGAAAGGACAAAACTATAAGCGTGGAGAAGAATTCCAACTAGTGTTCCAGTTAGTTTGATACGGTTTATTTAGATATTGGGAGATTTTTTCGACCTCATTTTTACTTGACCGTGATAGAATTTAGTAATACTACTAATACATATGAATTGTTATCAAAAAATTTTAAATACGTGAAAAGTAATAATTATGTGGATTTTGGACAGATAGATAAGAGCAATTCGTTGAGCATGAGTGTATACGTTAGAGATATGCTCTAGACTCAATGTTCTGATTTGCCATAGACTATTTATATTCATACCTATCGGCTGATGGTACATACAAGTTAGTTGCAAGTGTCAGTTTAGTATAAGACGGGATGCTATTATTATAAGTTACTGAAATCAGTAAGGCCTATGTGCCACATTTTTAGGTGATGTGGTGCTGCAAGATGTATTCGTCTAAATAAGCTTTTACAAGATGATTAACAGTGAGTGATGCTCATGGGATTACCAGTGAGAACATAAGTTGTAACCAAGGGGAGTACATTCCCAACTCATGTCTATGATAATGGCTTGAATTTTAGTCAATGTTGGGGTAAATTCGACATTGATGTTTTCAGTCTGCAGGAGATTTGCTCAACTGCTTATACTGATTATTTGCATGCATGATTGTGTCGCTAAACCTCCAATTAGACTTACAGGATTTTGAGATATTTACTGAATGAGCAACTGATAAACATACTGTAATCATCCGTAGTGAATGAAAAGAAAAACAACACTACTTAATGATAATTATAAGTCAATTTGTTGACCGATTTGTTAATAGTTTCGTCATTTTTACCAATCATATTACGTGATTGTCAAGTCATGACAATGCTTTATGACGATATCCTGAAACCATTATGTCTAACTAATTATAGTGTTGATTGAGGATTAGCCGGTGGACAAATAGGTATTGTTGCTTTAGGTGATTTGAAATTATCAGAAATTTGTAGCGTTGAAAAAACCGAGCCGCCCAATGATATTATAAATTTCAATTCAAGAATATACATCTAGTGTTAATTTTAGTAATAGTTTCCGGAGTTGTAATTTTAAATGTTTGTTTAGCCAACAACTACCTGATAGTTTAGCTATCATATTAAAGCAGTATGCTAGTACTCAAATTTGTAACTTTATTATCTAAACTATGTTTGTCTTTTTATGTTACTAATATGGTAGACCGATTGACAAACCCAAATACGTCTAGCAAGAATGATTATGATGGGTTCGGTGTGAAATGCTAAAGGCGATTCAAATGACTTTCGAATTCATAAGGCATGGGATATAATGCAACGCATTTACGGGGTAGTTTAACATGCAGGTTATTGATGTATATGACAATTTTAAAAATAGTAAACATTGCCAGAAAAATAATTTTCAAGTTAAGACTGCTTATGAAACTTCTGGCAGGATTATGATGCGTTATAAACTTCCCATAAGAGGTTCCTGTATTTAGCATAGTGGCACTTAAAAATATGTAGCAAAAACAATAAAATATATATGTTAAGTTTAAAAAAATCATCCAGTAAAATGGGTAAACTCGCCTGGATAATTCTTGAAAATTAGATTATTCAGTAGACGACATATGTAACGCCATTCGTGAGAAGTAATGATCCAAAAGCATCTAGAATAAAACATGCAGTACGGTAATTTATTCCAGGGTCCTTGGTGCCGCTGACGTTTTTGTCACTTGCTCGGATCAGGACAATTGAATGAATCCAGATAATTGTGTGGTTGTCACTGAACAAGCCATCTAAAATGACCTTATGATTGCAGAAAACTTATGGCTGAAACTCACCGTATGTTTTTGTAGTAGTGTCATCCTTGTTGTTTGGTAATGGTACTCGAGAATCGGAAATTAGGCAGGCAGTGGTCAGAAGAAAATAATATGACAGGATAGTGCATAGTTTAAGACAGAATGAGAAGTTATGTGAAGAAACAATATGAGTAATTAGATCCAGATAACAGTTTAGTCCTTGCTTACGTTGCTAGTCAATGTATATTAACGTTATTTACAGGTCATATTTGCTAGAGCTTGATGTTTGAACAAGTTTATTTCGCTGTAGCATGTAAATGCTCTTAAAGCTTGCTAATGAACCACCAAAGATAATAATTAATATAGATGACATGTTTTTATTATCGATTGAGCTAGTAGTTTTGAGTACTAATCAATATAACGTCACGATAATA